TATATATTAGTACTTAAGACTGTCCCTACCTTATATATTAGTACTTAAGACTGTCCCTACCTTATATATTAGTACTTAAGACTCTATCCCTACCTTATATATTAGTACTTAAGACTGTCCCTACCTTATATATTAGTACTTAAGACTGTCCCTACCTTATATATTAGTACTTAAGACTGTCCCTACCTTATATATAAGTACTTTAGACCCTGTCCCTACCTTATATATCAGTACTTCAGACTGTCCCTACCTTATATATTAGTACTTAAGACTGTCCCTACCTTATATATTAGTACTTAAGACTGTCCCTACCTTATATATTAGTACTTAAGACTCTATCCCTACCTTATATATTAGTACTTAAGACTGTCCCTACCTTATATATTAGTACTTAAGACTGTCCCTACCTTATATATTAGTACTTAAGACTCTATCCCTACCTTATATATTAGTACTTAAGACTGTCCCTACCTTATATATTAGTACTTAAGACTGTCCCTACCTTATATATTAGTACTTAAGACTCTATCCCTACCTTATATATTAGTACTTAAGACTGTCCCTACCTTATATATTAGTACTTAAGACTCTATCCCTACCTTATATATTAGTACTTAAGACTGTCCCTACCTTATATATTAGTACTTAAGACTGTCCCTACCTTATATATTAGTACTTAAGACTCTATCCCTACCTTATATATTAGTACTTAAGACTGTCCCTACCTTATATATTAGTACTTAAGACTGTCCCTACCTTATATATTAGTACTTAAGACTGTCCCTACCTTATATATTAGTACTTAAGACTGTCCCTACCTTATATATTAGTACTTAGTACTTAAGACTTCCTACCTTATATATTAGTACTTAAGACTGTCCCTACCTTATATATTAGTACTTAAGACTCTATCCCTACCTTATATATTAGTACTTAAGACTCTAGACCTTATATATTAGTTCCCTACCTTATATATTAGTACTTAAGACTGTCCCTACCTTATATATTAGTACTTAAGACTGTCCCTACCTTATATATTAGTACTTAAGACTCTATCCCTACCTTATATATTAGTACTTAAGACTCTATCCCTACCTTATATATTAGTACTTAAGACTGTCCCTACCTTATATATTAGTACTTAAGACTCTATCCCTACCTTATATATTAGTACTTAAGACTGTCCCTACCTTATATATTAGTACTTAAGACTGTCCCTACCTTATATATTAGTACTTAAGACTACCTTATATATTAGTACTTAAGACTCTATCCCTACCTTATATATTAGTACTTAAGACTCTATCCCTACCTTATATATTAGTACTTAAGACTGTCCCTACCTTATACATTAGTACTTAAGACTGTCCCTACCTTATATATTAGTGATTAAGACTGTCCCTACCTTATATATTAGTACTTAAGACTGTCCCTACCTTATATATTAGTACTTAAGACTGTCCCTACCTTATATATTAGTACTTAAGACTTCCTACCTTATATATTAGTACTTAAGACTGTCCCTACCTTATATATTAGTACTTAAGACTCTATCCCTACCTTATATTTTAGCACTTAAGACTGTCCCTACCTTATATATTAGTACGTAAGACTGTCCCTACCTTATATATTAGTACTTCAGACTTCCTACCTTATATATTAGTACTTAAGACTGTCCCTACCTTATATATTAGTACTTAAGACTGTCCCTACCTTATATATTAGTACTTAAGACTTAAGACTGTCCCTACCTTATATATTAGTACTTAAGACTGTCCCTACCTTATATATTAGTACTTCAGACTTCCTACCTTATATATTAGTACTTAAGACTGTCCCTACCTTATATATTAGTACTTAAGACTCTATCCCTACCTTATATATTAGTACTTAAGACTCCTTATATAATAGTACTTAAGACTCTATCCCTACCTTATATATTAGTACTTAAGACTGCCCCTACCTTATATATTAGTACTTAAGACTGTCCCTACCTGATATATTAGTACTTAAGACTGTCCCTACCTTATATATTAGTACTTAAGACTGTCCCTACCTTATATATTAGTACTTAAGACTGTCCCTACCTTATACATTAGTACTTAAGACTGTCCCTACCTTATATATTAGTACTTATATATTAGTACTTAAGACTGTCCCTACCTTATATATTAGTACTTAAGACTGTCCCTACCTTATATATTAGTACTTAAGACTCTATCCCTACCTTATATATTAGTACTTAAGACTCTATCCCTACCTTATATATTAGTACTTAAGACTCTATCCCTACCTTATATATTAGTACTTAAGACTGTCCCTACCTTATATATTAGTACTTAAGACTGTCCCTACCTTATATATTAGTACTTAAGACTGTCCCTACCTTATATATTAGTACTTAAGACTGTCACTACCTTATATATTAGTACTTAATACTGTCCCTACCTTATATATTAGTACTTAAGACTGTCCCTACCTTATATATTAGTACTTAAGACTCTATCCCTACCTTATATATTAGTACTTAAGACTGTCCCTACCTTATATATTAGTACTTAAGACTGTCCCTACCTTATATATTAGTACTTAAGACTCTATCCCTACCTTATATATTAGTACTTAAGACTTAAGACTCTATCCCTACCTTATATATTAGTACTTAAGACTGTCCCTACCTTATATATTAGTACTTAAGACTCTATCCCTACCTTATATATTAGTACTTAAGACTGTCCCTACCTTATATATTAGTACTTAAGACTGTCCCTACCTTATATATTAGTACTTAAGACTGTCCCTACCTTATATATTAATACTTAAGACTGTCCCTACCTTTTATAATAGTACTTAAGACTGCCCCTACCTTATATATTAGTACTTAAGACTGTCCCTACCTTATATATTAGTACTTTAGACTCTATCCCTACCTTATATATTAGTACTTTAGACTGTCCCTACCTTATATATTAGTACTTAAGACTGTCCCTACCGTATAAATTAGTACTTAAGACTCTATCCCTACCTTATATATCAGTGATCTAGAATAAAACCCAACATTTATCTGATAGTTTGCTATTTTAATGTATATACTAGAGATTAGATCAAGGATTTTGGTTTTTAACATGGGACGTATTCGAGTGTTAAAACGACAAAATTCATGATCCTGTCTCCAGTGTATACATACAAATCAAACCGACATCCCCCTATTCTAAAATAAATTGATACTATAATTATCGCAATGTCAACGAAATTCAACAAAACTAAGAATTGCACAATTTTGTTCGAAAGGGTTCCTCATTGTTCTTAGCCAATCAAAATACCCCTTTCAACTATTGATGACGTTGAAGCTTCGCCCACTTTCCAGTCAAGCTGTCATTAGATTTGTAAAAGTATATAGGTCGAAGGGTTTGAGAAGGCTTAACTGTTTCGGGGTAGATTGTCTGTCTAACTTGTTGTTTATAATGATCCTGGTGTACTTACTTAAACATCGTTATGTCTGTCTCAGAATGATAAAAGTTTTCATTCATTAACGTAGTGTATGAATAAAACAACAGACATCGCGGGGACAAGAGATCATTACCGAGAAACTCATCCCAAGTTGTCAGTACGTTGCTTTCAAATGGAGATTGCGATTTATGTATCATTGTTTATTAAGTTCTCAAATAAAGATAGAAAACAATAGCACGTGACATGATTTCATTTAGTTGTGATGTGATCAGCTGATGTTGATTCCAGGATTGAAAATATCACCTAACGGCTGTCGTCTTTATCGACATTCTGACATTACCATTAAACTCACTAACGGCGGAGAAAAAGGGCGAATTGGAATGATATATCACACAGACATTACTGTACTCTTCATTTCACATTCCGATGACACATTTTAGCCTGTCGTTATAATAGATATCTTCAATATCGATGTCCAACATCTGCTTCAACCACTAAGATGGCCGCCACGTTTTGGCTAGCATCAGAAATTATGAGCATATCGGGGATTATATCATAAATATTATCCAATTGAAAAACGCCTCACATCAGCATTATTTGAGAAGATATCTTAGTACATTGGATTACATCCCTTTAATACTTTTATACACAATTATAAACGTTTTCCTTGTGAATGTGGTGGCTCTATCTCCATCCTAGTCGTTACATTGAAAATGTGACATTAGTTTGATTCTTTACATGACTAGTATACGGAATGCGTAATATGTTTCTAGAAATAATGAATCTTATTAACTTTGTCAATCAAGACCTTTGATGTAATAATTTTCAAAATAAAATGTTTTAATCGATATCAATGCTAGCCAGTTGACCACTCTGAAAATGACTAATTAGAAGAAATGTTCCGACTTTGCTATGAACATTTATTACAAATTGTACAAACTTTCCATCAATATTTTTGTTTAGTAAGTTCAACTTAAAGTAATGATAACGGACCGCGACGGAAGTCGACGGGCCACAACGACGGACCACGACGGACCACGACGGAAGTCGACGGACCACAACGACGGACCACGACGGAAGTCGACGGACCACAACGACGGACCACGACGGAAGTCGACGTACCACAACGATGGGCCACGACGGACCACAACGACGGACCACGACGGAAGACGACGGACCAACGGCGGATCGCAATACGTCATATGAGCTATGTAAAGATAACTAAAGACACATAAATGTTGTAAAAATCATTCGTTTTTTTTATTTTCACATCAATTTCGGCAGACAACTTCAACAATTGTCTTCATAATACATAGATTTAATCTTATTTACAAACCTAGGGTAATCTTTGCGCCTGATGACGGCTATGCTCCACTCAACACCATAGTAAAGGGCTGTGTTTTTAGAATGTACACAACTCTGTAACTCTCATAGTTATATTGCGTACATGTTACACACGGCATCACGCCATAACCATCTATCAGTCTTCATAGAAATCACACCTCTCTCTCTCTGTCTGTCTGTCTGTCTGTCTGTCTGTCTCTTCTAACAATAAACAAATGTTTATTTCTGGACGTTCGAGCATCTCGTAAACGCCGTTAGATAAATCGTTAAGAGACGCAGCTAAGTGGCGTATATCCTATCATGTAAGATTATGGACATCCCAGGCAACATTCACAAAAAGTACTCAACAAATTATTACTGCAAAATAGGTTTTTCTCGATTTTTCAAATTTTCGCGTTTGTATAAAAAGCTTGAAGCTAAAAACAGCATATTTTGGACGGGTGTATTTCTACTAATATTTTATTTTTAAACGCTTATTGCTTCTTTTTCAAATCAATATTCAATTCATCAATATTTTAGCGATTTTATTTCACCCTCGAAAAAGTCGAATAAAGATCTTATCGAAAACCCTATCTTTTGCAGTATTACTTATCTCAAGCTATCTAGAGAAGAAGTATTATTTATCTAGAACTGTCGAGATAAGAAGTATTGCTTAGCTCTAACTGTCGAGATAAGAAGTATTACTTATCTCTAACTGTCGAGACAAGAAGTAATACTTATCTCAAACTGTCGAGATAAGTACTGTCGATACAAGATATATAATTATCTCGAATTGTCGAGGCAAGAATTATTGCGTTTGCCGAAATGTCGAGACAAGATAAAAGTGTTTAAACAAGAAATATATAATGATAAATTACTTGAAGATGTAACTGCAAATCAAACAATATCAAAGTAAATTTTAAAACTGAATAATAAAAAAATAAAAATAATAAACACATTAACACCCAAATAAATAGTCGTGATAAGTGTCATTGTAACTTTAAAATGAAAAGTAGTTCCGAACTGAAGTTAACACAGGTCTCTTTGAAATATGTTTCCATTTCAGTAAATTGCGATAAAATTAATAAAATTTGACAAAACACAATCAAGAATCATGATACTAAAAGCATACGCTGTTAATCAATTATGGCGAAAATTTGATGCGTTTTGGAATTGATGGTGATCTGAAGCGATAAACAGCGACAACATCAAAGTTATTAAGACCGTATGTCATCTAATTAGTGAATCCATTGATGAAATCATTTAAAACACTTTTAACACAATTTAGCAGAATTATCATGTCAAATCAAAACCAATCTTAGATTTCGAGCATTCAGTAATGGATAAAATAATAAAAATTAAACACTTGCGTATCACCGGCGTAGTTTAAAGCTAGTTTATAACATGTTACAATTTGTTGTTTTTTAATAAATAACACAGAAAATAATACTTTTAACTGAAACAATGATTGTACAGTGTATTCACAGGAAGTTATTTCTGTTTTACTTCATGAAAATTTTGAGAAAAAATATCTAAAGTAAAATGGGCAATGAGAAAAAACCTGGAATAGGCAACCGAGTAAGCACTCCACCGGTGTTATCATTGCGTCAGTTCTATATACAGTACACATCACTCCACCTGTCAATTACACAAGAAATTCGTTTATCAGTTTCACTGTTAAGTATATATAATATAGATTTATTGAATGTTTATTTACAGTTTATTACGTACAAGCGAAGGACTCATTAAAGTTTATATATCACACTGTCGTCAAAGTCTGGGACAAGCAGATACAAGTCTGAGAGAGCCATTCATTAACTCACACAGATATACACAGGTCCTTATAGGTGTCATCCTACATCCGGGACAATTCATTTATTCTGAAAGCCACGCATCGTGACTTCTGATGTGGACCGTAAGAAATAACAGCAATAATAGTCACGATGAACATTCTAAAATCAAACATGTCCCTCTACACGATCGTTTTCCAATTTAATGTAAATAACAAAAACATACGCTGACATAAAATTATGTAGACCTGTCAAATCGTTGGTGACAGCTCAGGTGTAAGATGTTGGTAAATACTAATAAAGGATTTTTTGTGAAAATGAATGACATTGTAGAATCACATGATAAATGTAATTGTCATTTGCCCTTTCAACAACAAATCTGTGTCCACATTTTGAGGTTAATTGGGATAACTGAAAATAATATTCAACATTTTATTGAAATTAACAAAAACGTATAAGCCTCGATATAATTTTGAAATGAAAAAGATATTCATGTTTCAAAAACAGAATGAAATCGATTTATCACAAAACAAAACCAATCTCAGTATGCTTGTGGAGTATTATACACACAGGTAGCTACTACCGTCAAATTAGCAGGAATTCTGGTGAGAAAAAAACAGATATCAACAACGACGAATGCAAACGCATTCAATTAAGACAAACACATGAAACGCCAAACAAATTAAAACCCAATTGTTACTAGAGTAGTCTACATTGTAAACTTTGGCACAAAACATAAACAACCAGTTCAATATATATGATATTAATGGTGAGTTCAATATGTGTACTAACAGGCGAGATTTGACAGCCAAAAGACATTTAATTTGCTGTGGTAGATGAAAATCCTGACTTTTGTATCATGTTAACTGAAATAATTCACAAAACACGTTCACTCTGCAGTAGGAAGAGAAAATCCAGAAGAACAAACTAAATTGATGTTTACCAACATGTCGAGTAAATTAATGCGTATTCCCTAAAACAATTAAGCTAAACATAAACAACACATTGAACAAGTCTGGCTTTAGAATACCGTTAACAGATACTACATATAGTTCTTTAAGAGTTGCTAATTTCTTTGCTCGAGATAATTCATTTTAGACTATCTTTGGTGTCAGTTACAAATACTGTTGTTCAGATATATGAGTGTTAAATAAAATAAATCCACAATATTCTTTAAAGTATGGTTAGTAACAGTGCCTTAATACTAATAAAACACAAGCTCAAATACTATTCTTGGATCCAATTTCTCATCAATAAAGTTCGGGCTGGCTCTCCTGATAATGATGTCTAATTTTAAACATTTTTTAATGTTTTTATTACTTCGCTATCAAACAAAATGTTTCGGAATAAAAGCTACTTTTTCAAACAGAATTAACGAAAAATCAATTAGCTTTAAATTTTACATTAATTTAAAAAGACGTTTTCAGTCGCTGAAGTCCGAACTAAGTTATTTCTGAGAAATAAACGATATAACATCGATCTGAGATCACACCAACACATAGCACCACACGTAAAATACGATATATTCAACAAGCTAAGTCATTCTTACAGGGACTAAACGTAATGATCATATATATCATTAATAATATATCACAATATTGCAGCTACAAATCGTAGGCAAGATTACCTCCCTTTAAAAGGTGGCGTTCAAAATGGTTTCCATGCTCGGAAACTCGGAATGTCTCTGTATTCATCCCTTAATTAAACGGCGTATTTTTCTGGAGGTCACGAATGTGTATTCAGTGTTAGCCTTTTTTCTGATTCTCATGAATGCCGTTTGGAAATTGACCTTTAGACCTTTTACTTACGGTCGAATAACACCATATCTCAGTTCCAGTGTGTGGTGACAGTGACAATATAACAGTCAGTTTCTGTACTGCTGATACCGACAAAATAAGTCCGCCGTTCAATAAGGCTGGCCTCAGAAATCCAACACAAAGAAACGAAACAGTATCAGTATTCCCGTGTTGAGAATTCAGTGATGATTTCACCACTTGATCTACGTGAGGAATCTCCATGGAAACCACTTTCAATTTGTAGTGATCCTGACGATGACATAGCCCTAGCCTTGTCGAATTGACATTTGACGAAATCCTGTGGTCGAGCCGTTTCGTGTGAATCGTAATCCTGTGTTCCGTCACATTCGAAAGTTATTTCACGAGGCTGACACGATCACGTGATAATGACAAGCATATTATGACCTTGACACGCACGTTCTGTGATGAAGTTCTCCATCGTGTCACGTGATCATTGTGTAATTGGCAAGATAATGGAGCAACAAAGGATCGTCTTTCAAGCCACACAAATAGTCTGTGGATCTCTAAGCGTGGCATTACCCTGTTAGCCGTACGTATATGGGCCCCTTCATCGCCATTCATCATCGAAGATTAATCTTAGTCTTCCAAATTGTTGAGCACTTCTCGGTAACGTATAAACATCAGTCACTATTTTTATTCTCTCACTCTTACGCATTGTTTCTTTTTCTTCCATCCTCTTATACACTTCCATTTTCTCTCACTCTCACAGAAGAGATTTTTTTCTATCACCTTTGCAATACACACGCCAATGTCACGATGATCACACAAAGAATGAGAGAAATACTAGTTCGTGGACTGACCCCACCACTGTCCGCATTGATCACACCATTAGAGCGGTCATACGGCCTCTTTTCGGAGTCTCCAGATATAATTTTCCCACTGTGTTCCTTATTCTGACCTTGGTCACCCATTGGCTCTTTTTCATGGTCAGTTTGGTCGGTATTTCCCCTACCATTATCTGGTCTTAATGGGGTCGGAGCTGGAGTGTAGGTGACAACTCGCGGACATTCATCTGAAAAACAAGCGAAAACATATATTTGATATACACAATGTATATTTGTATATTTCTAGCTAATTAAAATCATAATTATCATTTATATGTGATCATCTCGTGCATTTTTCTGGAGTTCCCATTGTTTTCACCCTATTTATATATTACTTTTCGACCGCTTGGTGTCGATTTATTAAATTAACATTACTATGAAAAAAAGGAAAATAAATGATTAAAGGAATTCTAAAATGGTAAATTCGTATTTAATTGAAGACTAACAAGCTTCCCCAGCGACAATAGTGCTGACAAGGTACTTAAGGATGTCTATGTATCCTGGATTTACGATCGAGGGGTGGGGGGGGCATCCTTGTGTTATGACTTAAGCTGGTTAATTTTCCCTCTTCAGCCACCGTTATCTATGTTACAGTCCTACTAACAAACTGACTAGCTGTCATCATACTGCAAAACGCTAGAATTTAATTAACAATCCAACACTTTGCACGTAAATGTAGTACGTCGTTTGAAGAGTAAGCAATATTCTGATGAAAATGGGGAAAATCGATATTTTTGAACTCTATTTTTGGCAACCTTTACAATGCAAGCACAAGACCCAGACAGATATAACACCAATTATATATAATTTACACATGTATATTTCAGTATCTCTTGTATTATAGAATTAAGTAACACATTTCAATATAAAATTAGCGACAGACTCTACGTGAACCGGAAACGGTTATGACTGAATCATCAGTAAGGCTAGACCTTAAAAAGGTGCGATAACCCCTTAACTAAATTAACATCCTAGTAATGTTTATCATTTTTTGATGTTTTTCAATGAAGTCCTATCTATAATTAACAATTTTGTTCATCCTAACATAAAAATAATGATGTAATGCTGTGATATTACCTATTGGGGAGGGGGTAGGTGATGAGTTATTTTAACAAACAGGAATATATCTATATTGCCGCTGTTGGAACTAACACATCAAAACTCTTAACTTAGTAGTATAAAAAAATAAAGGACCTTACATAAATATGGATGTTACGATTTGAAACTATCAAACAATTTAATGAACTCCATTTAACAATGTAATGAATATAAGATTCTATTCATCATATAACTCACATTTCTTCAAAATAAGCAAACATTCTCAAATAAATCTCCCTATAAGAAATACTTCTTTCGACGCCCACAGAATGTTTTTTCCGAGACAATCATGTCAAGTCATTAAGAGGTTATCATTCTATGACGTCACCATAGTTCAATTAAACGTGTGTCAGACGATATTTATGACAAAACACAATACGCCAGCTCTGTGATAAAGCGACATTAGTTATTCTTGAGAAATATCTGAAATCGTTATCTAAAATGCAAATGATTAAGTTACACCATATATGGAAGTCACGTGACTTACTGGACGGCTTGAAGAGTACATAGTGAATGGCGCTGTTTCTAACCACACTTCTCTGGTCCCCACACTCAGAGTCCTCCTTCACATCGATACCTCCCTCCGTGTCACGGAAAGCCTGCAAATTAATACATATTTATCAAATCACACGATATTTAGACGGATATTCAACTGATATGACATCAAAATGTTAACATTATGACGTCGAAAATATAGACAATAAATAAATACCAGCATGTCAACAAAAATCATTATCCCAATACTAATTCAATAAAACTTAAACAAATCATTAACAAATGAAAGTACAAGGAGATTAAGACCAGCTGTTCCGGAAGGGTAAGCGTCTTCTTCATTGACACCATGTAACCCTAGGTTAATCAAAGGAAGTAATGGCACGATCTCAAATGAGAACAAGGTACAATGGAACCAACATACAAACTAACGAGCATCAAGGACAAAAATGACTGGGAAACTGGTTTTGTCGATTGAAGTTTTACTTTTATCATCGGATATCATTTATTTACGAATTTCAAGAAGAGAAGAAGACAAACAAGTAACAAGATAATTAGTAACAAGTTCTTAAGGTAACAAAGTCATTTAGGAACACTTTAGAATTGTACAAAAGACACAAAAGTGAATAGCACCTTTTGATAATTTAGATATAGTAGAGCAAGACAGTGAATTAAACTGCATTATTCAGCTGTTTCATTCTAAGTCTATCAGTGATGCTAAGGGCCTAAATTCTGAAGCCTTGGAGATCGAAAGAAAAGTCATATGGGTTAAATTCAGGACATCATCAAGTACATTGTGTATATACTCTGACAAGAACACAACATCGATATCCATTTTCAAACATGAAATTTTATATACAAGAAAAACCTTCATTGCTAGTCATTTTCCAGCATAAATTATATCGGTTCTGTTGATGTATGTAAATATACATATACTAGTTAAACCACCATGAAACATATATATATATATATATGTGTGTGTGTGTGTGTGTGTATTACAATCCGCTCATACTTACCAAACACGTTGCACGTTTGTAGATATCTTTTGGTCTTTGAACAATAACATAATGAGTGCCATCTTTCTTGAAATCCAACAAGCAGTCCATGTATTCCACTAAAAGTGAAAAAAAAACCATTGAAAAGAATTATTTCTGTACAAATAATCGCGAGTTATTTGAATTCGCGTTTGACTCTCCTTGCGTATAAACGCAAATATAGATTCCACGCGAAACAATAGTAATTAACAGATAACAATACAGTGCTCGCATGCGACTTACCAGACTGACGGTTAAAAGGACACTTTTTCTCCACTACGATTTCACTTTCAGATGAACATCCCATCTTGAATCTACCTGTACAATCTGTAGTTTTATCCATAAAACTAAAATCACCATTCGTAGGGCAACTAGAGGCCTCAAGCCCAGCAGCTGTGAAAAAATGAGGGAATGAAATCAGCTTGACAGAGCATGTTCATCGATATGGGTAAAGAAGAAATACAATTATTACATTTGACATTTGGCAGTCGAATCTCGTTATCTCGAACTTAAGGACCCACAAAACATTCGCACTCCCTTAAGTCGAACACTCGATCATCTCGAAGTTTTCCCAAGGTTCCGTCGAGTTCGAGATAATGAGATTCGATTGTACCTATATTTCGAAACATGCGATATAACCCCCATGCATAATTTGATATATAGATGAAACATTTATTAGCAAGAGCCATATACTGTACTGAAACATGATTATCATGTAAATATAATTCATTAAATTAATTGATAAATCAATAAATCATCGATATCAGTGGACAATTTATCGGCACAAATCGCAAGCCATAACCGAACATAAGAGACTTTGATTCCGATTTATAACATTGCAACACCTGGCCAAACTGAAGTTTCCTCCCCTTAACTGGATAAAACTGGATATCAATCATTTAATTATGATAAGGTTTAATAACATCTGGAGTTTTTCGTGGAAAACATATTTAAAAACATAATTAAACTGTCATTTGTATTTACAATGTTATATCTATTTGAATACTCACGTATCAACACATGTTTCTCGCCGTGGTCAAAACTAGAATCGCTACACGCCTCGTGCCTACTTCCAAGCTGGGTACCTTTAAGAAATATTGATTTAACAAGTTCACTTTACATAACGACAATTTTTAAATCATTATGAAATACCACCAATGCTGATAATTATAACACCTCTTGCTTCTTTAAAGGGAGTTTTATGACAGACGGAGATTACAGGTTTAATTAAAACACATGTGAATAACACCCTTTTATTAAGATTTAGAACCGACACAGCGACATGATGAATACTACGTTATGTAATGTTATATCCCTCTAGGACTCTTAACAATGTTTATAAAGTAGACACATAATTACCGTCTACCTACAGAGATGACATGTCTTAAACTGACTATATCTGCATCTATATCAACTGAAACAAGCTATCTAATAAATATATACAAATAGTGTCTACTATTGCTAGCATGTCTAAAACATCTATTGTGTTTAACTCCATCTAGCCTCAATACTATCAATTTTAAACTGTTTCCTCTCTATAACAATGACATGTCATAATGGCCTCCTTCTCCAGTTATGATAATCTATAAATAGCGTCACTTACTATCACATACACCTGTCTAGAGACACCATACGATTGTCTTCACAACCACTTGCCTAAACTACTATCTGTCTCTTTCAAACACCTGTCTTTATCAAACACTTGTCTATAGACACCATATGATTGTCTTCACAACCACTTGCCTAAACTACTATCTGTCTCTTTCAAACACCTGTCTTTATCAAACACTTGTCTGTAGACACCATATGATTGTCTTCACAACTACTTGCCTAAACTACTACCTGTCTTTAACAAACACCTGTCTATAGCACCATATGATTGTCTTCACAACCACTTGCCTAAAATACTATCTGTCTCTTTCAAACACCTGTCTTTATCAAACACTTGTCTGTAGACACCATATGATTGTCTTCACAACTACTTGCCTAAACTACTACCTGTCTTTACCAAACACCTGTCTATAGCACCATATGATTGTCTTCACAACCACTTGCCTAAACTACTACCTGTCTTTATCAAACACACGTCTTTATCAAACACCTGTCTAGAGACACCATATGATTGTCTTCACAACTACTTGCCTAAACTACTACCTGTCTTTACCAAACACTTGTTTACAATATCTCTATCACTAACACCTGTCTAAAATTACAATTGTCTGCATTGTTTACATCTAGAATCTGTTGGACAAATTCACAAGACTTCGCTACTTTATGTGTTTAACTACCACCTTGATATCAACACCACCTTTCAACAACAAAAACACTAGCACAATATTTATCTATTTGTTACATGAGTGTACCGACACACTGACCACACTGATATATACATGGTATGTACCTGCTCCCAAGATATGTACGAACCTTTATGTAAGCACTTATAGCGTGGCGAGTTGTGTGTTTAGATATAAAAACATTCCCGTTAAAAGTAAACAAATAAACAAAGCTAAACAATTTCTCATAAAATATGTATAGTGGGAGATAATGGTAACCGGAAGTGGAATCCGAAATCAGGAAGTCACTTACTGATATATAATTCCAGTACTTTTCGTTCACGCTTGACCAAACGCAAGCATCGATATCCAGAAACGCTGTAAAAATAAAACCAGAGAGTTACATATATTAATGACTTTACAGCAAAATGTATTTGACAGTAAACAGAAATTTTCGACAAGATCTCAGTCTGTTGAAAATTATGAAAAATTATTGAAAGCAAACGGTTAATCTTTCCTTGCTAATAAAAAACAACCCTGTTGAAAGGAGAATTTACAAAAAGATTTTTTTCTTATACTCTTTTGTAAACACCTAATTTCTGTCAATATCAGGATGTTACACCATGGATTTGACTTTGAGATCTGGGACAAAACGTGATAATAATCCCTATGAGAGTGTGGAACCTGTCCATCAAGTTCACGCTTGATGTAATCACTGAAGCTAATTACAAGTTATTTACACTTGATCAGTTTTAATCACCATTAAATAATTACAATAGTTTTCCGTGGCAATGATGATTAGGAATACGGTGATCTGTTGTATTTGTTTTTCGTTTAACATCTATGTACTTCATTAAAAACAAAGATTCTGTCCAAAAAGAATCTTGTTCAATTTCTTATTAATTTCTAGAATTTAATGAAAGGTATATATACGTGTATTTGTGCATTTTTACGAGCTTTCAATTTCAAATGAAATTATTCGTTGCTGGAGACACATAAATGGCAAAAATATTTTACCAGGAGTCGTCAGTCACGTGTGCCATAAACTCTCTCTCGTGACGACGAGAACTGTCTACATTATCGATACATCTAACAACCATCTTCATATCCGACCGGTAGCTGCCCTCGCTATAAACGACCGTATCCGGTGACGTCACAGTCTTGTCCTTCACTCGGAATATCTGTAGCCCTTCGTCAGCCTCTATGACAAATCGACCAGACATATCCCTCCAGTATTTCCGGCGATGGAAAAATTCCGGGAATCGACATTGAGGGGAAGGCCATATTGTTCCATCAAAGTCTGAATAGAAATAAGGTGATGCAATAATGACAGGAAATGAAAGATTAAACCACATCATATTGAAATCTACTACCATATTGGAGTGGACCAGTTAAAGGAAAAGATTAATGTCTGACCCAATAATATTTGTCTTCGTTAACAACCAGTACATATCTGAACTGTGAAGCATGAAACAGTCTTAGCAGGTGACAATCAGGTGGAGGTATATACATCTAACAATTATTTCCTAGATTCAAAGCTATTTCATGCTAAATATAACGTAACCTTTAGGGTAAATGCATTTTCCCATTTGTATGTGTCTTAGAAGAATAACTATTAAATTCTGAAAGTTTGAGATATGCATTTCCTACGTTTTGGGAAGTAACAAAAGTATAATTAAGATATAAAGATGAATGAATCTGAAGACATTTAAAAAGACACATGGAACAAGACACTTGTAAAAAGACACAAGACACATGTAAAATGACAGTTGCGGGTTAGAATCATTTAAGAAAATTCCAAATTATTGTGTAATTATGACATGAGTATAATTTACGAGTTCCATTCAGACTATTCCAAATGAATCTGAGGTGAAAATCCCTAACCTCTACATCGGCCATGTCTGTTTGATTGAAATTTCTACACAAACCAAACAGAAGTGGACACCATCTTGAAATTCAATCCTACTATCAGCTGTGTCAATGTGGGTTAAATAGGTTTTGCTACCAGGTTCATTTGTCATGGCAACACAAAACCTTATCTTCATACGATCGATCGTTTGAACTGTCTTTAAAACGTGATGTGATAAGCACAAGCTTAAGAATTTGTCTAAAAATTATACAAAAATGATTGATCATTTCAGAAAGCAACAGAAATATGTCATTTGACAGAAACGAGGACATGGTATAGTCAAAACATTGGATACCCCCCATATAAACAGTGATGGGGTTCGGTCGTAGGAGAATGTTTGTGTGACGTCATGGTGGATCGGAATCAGGATCCTAATAGGTGTCAATGTAAAACTTAAAAAATATGTTCTGAGCCACGAACAGTCAGACAAAATGTCATTTACGGCCAACGTAACCACACATTCGAAACTCGAGAGTAAATCTGAACCATGTATGCTGCGACTGAAAAGCAGAGAAACTCATTACATTGTGAAGGAAACACATTTCTGCTTTTAAAATTCCTCGGAAGAAATTTGTACTAGGTAAATTATTTTTTAAATCACGCAATGGATTTAAACGGAATTCTAACATTTCATGGGTTTTCCCATTTACATAACACCTCTTTTTTCTACAACAGTATTTCATCAATTCTAATGGTTTATAGTCAAAGCAGAGCATAGCTATGAAAACCGTCAGATAAAATGTGATTTTTGGACGAAGGAGTAAAGTCTTTAGAAGACTATTGAGCAATATAGATCATTTGTAATGTTATGGTCGGTTATAGAGCATGGATTGCTGACCCTCTTTGACAGAATGCCAAAATTTGCCATGCATTGATGGAATGTCTAGGGGCTTACCTCTCTGTAGCTTCATCGTGGTAAAGCCAACACTAGGACTCTGTAGTCCCTGGCACGTGCCATCAACTGTCATCGACATATCTCCGGTACCGCCATAAAAGCTATGCATCTGTAAAAGACAAGATGGCGATTCAGTTTCATATCTTATTGTATATGTATTGACTTTTTCATAAAATGACAGTAAATCGTTTTGAGTGTATGGTCGTTTTGAATTAAAAAAAAAAGACGTTCTCTGTATGATGAAAATGATTATTGGAAAGTAATTTCCAGTCCCAAGCTCAATTAAATGCATCTTTAACACTTTAACGAAGTCAAAATATAGCAAGCATCGCCGGCACTACCGAATTATTTCACAATGGCGGTTATTGATTAACAATTTAAGTTATTGTTTAAAAAAGGTTTAAACCAGAAATTTGCAGGTATGAAGATGACATAAGTCGGAAACAAAACATAGATCAGCATTTTCAAATCGTTTGATATCCATAAATTCTGACAGGAAAAAAATCATGGTCAACACAAATAAACCTCTCACTTGCCTTCATTTTATTTATAAATATTCCTACTGCAACACAGTTTGTATTGTTCATGTCAGTATATATAAAACAGTCACCCGAAAAACTATACTACATCTATAAGAGATAAATCGCAGAGAAATAATCCCCCGGGATAAACCGACATCCGTTCACCACTCTCTGCACAAGGCATGTTTCTACAGGAGCGTGAATTCGATCATTTCTGGAGTCTCCACTACAGCCTGTAGTTGTAAGTAGCATCATTTTGGTCGGAATTAGAACAACTTTGATTGTAGAGAAATGCCAGGGCATTATCTGTAACGTTGTTATAACTATTAAGTTCGTCCTAGGAATCTCTAGTAATGTACATGCAGAAGCTCGACAATTGCCCTGTAGTTAGGAAACTCGTTATCCTGGGAAAATTTGCATGTCATTCAGTATTCCGGCATATAAACTGGATACTCTCCTGTTCAGGAATACATCGCATCCCGTATAATTACATACATCACGTGATTAGAATTAATCGGATCAGTCACGTGACATGACTACACATTCCCCATGAGGTTAAATTTTAGGTCAAGGTCAAATCAATCTATCTGAGGACAGATGTGGCTATTACTGAAATAGTCCTCTTACTGTACAGAGGGGAAAATTCGTGGATATTTTTCTGGAGGATATTACATGGCGGACATTTTTTTCCTCCAGAAATTCATTATGTTTATGGTATAAACCAGCCTGAAGTCGAGAGGGAAACTCTCATTGATGATGTTTCATTTGTAACATAATAGATATGGATGTAGGTATGTAAAAAAAACAACAAAAACAAACATGTCAACACGATCATATTCCAAAACTCAAATTCAATACAACTAGGGCAAAATATGAACTTAAGAAAGATTTACACAGAGACTCCTTCAAAAAGTACAAGGATAATAAGATCAGGTGTTCCGGAAGAGTAAGCATCCTCTGTTTCAAAGACGACCCTCGCCGTGTAAATCTTGGTCAAACAAGGTACACTACACATCAACGGAACCAACAGGCAAAATGACGAGCATCAAGTACGTCCAACTCCATGTCGCACAAAGAAATCGAATATTCTGTCCTTCTCAACTTTAAACTGACAGTGTTGGCATGTTTGGTTTTTTTTTACATACCTACATCCATATCTATTATGTTACAAAACAAATCCTTCATTCAGTTATTTTTTTAAATATATGAATTTTATTTAGGCTATAATAACTATAGCTGAATTGAGAATGGGTTTATGGTCTGTATTGTCAGAAAATTGTTTACTCTCTGACAGAAATGTCTGCTATTCCTTTCTACGTTAAACATGCAATTATATATATGCATTACATCAATGTCATTCTCAGTAAATTTGCTACAAACACTATTGACATATAAAGCACCCATTTGGTTTCAAGACCTGAATTTATTTCTAGCAATTTTTACGTACTGGGATTTTTTTCAAACTACTGAAAAATAATTTTTTTCGTGGGGTTCAAAATTCGTGGTTTCACAAAATTATTCATTTTTCTTGTCACTTGATTTTGTGGTTAAATCTTGCCCAGCAAATTCGCTTATACTGTAATTTATGTCAACTTCGGTCCCTTTGTTGTGGACAAATCCTTCCATGAAGTACACATGTAGACAACGAAAGTATGTCCCCTATGGAAACAATAGTAACAATATTGAAAACTATTTATCTTCTGTAATTTCCCATGTATTGATTCAACTGACTTAATTTCATTTCAATAATGTAAATGTTTAATACTTACAAAACAGCGGTACTGTGGTGTGTCAGGTTGGTATGGATGCGTAAACTTTCCATACAAATATTTATCACCATTTACCCACGTGGCTAAACATTGGAAATCCAGCACTGTAACAAACGAAAAAGGAAATTAACATAGAGGACGTAATAGATTTCATAATATATGTGAGTGATGTCATAAATTAACTGGTAACGTCATAAATTAACCAAATGACGTCATAAAGCCCTTTGAATAGAGCACAATACTTGCCACAACCCATAATCCGTCAACTCAAGGTAAAAAAAAGAACACGTGCCAACTTCAATTACAAGTAGATATCAAATTCAATTTTTTCGTGACAAAGATGAATTTGAATATTTACTTAATAGACTGTCATTGCACAATTTTCGGATCTTTTTTCCTGCAGTAGAGAATTCAAATTTCTTCCATTAGGATCTATTACAGGAAAAATAAGTCTCCAAGAGCAAAGAGATTGATTTTGTCTGGACCGACTGGACATTATAGATATGCACAATGAACTTGTAGTCAGTTTCTAATTTGCCGATGTACATTTCAAGGCAAACCCATTTTGATTTCAGAATAGGCAGCATTTTAGATCGATGGAGTTCTTATCCATACCTAAGTTTGTTAACAAAGATAAATGGGTATACTTCCACTAGGAGAAAGCACGCCGTGTTGAGAAACGCCGCTGGGACACTTGGGTATTATCCTGGCTTTTATCACGTACCCAATAATTATACTTATACTTGCCTTAAATTGACATCATATTGGAAATGCGTTTATTTCTATAAAGTCTTATAGAACAGGATGTCGTTATGAAATATATCTCAGGTTCACGTGGTGGGCAAATGCACATTCACGACTGTATATGACCTTGCTGTCATTCTCAAGTTTGATAATACCATAATTTATGTAAAGTAATTCTGACAGAAACCTTTCAGGACGACAACCATACTCATCCGCTGATCTATGTAAATATTTCACAAATACAGGAGATCTTTGTCATTGTACCCACTGATACCGTTATTTATGCAGTAATATTTTATTACGAAATACCGTAAAATCTTCCATTTTCGTCGGAGATTTATTGTCATTGTATGTAGTTTTTATCTATGAATTGATTTATGTCTACGAACTGTTAAAATGAGTACACTTATTGCGCTATATTTATTTTCAAAATTAGATGTCCACGAAATATGATTTTGAAAACAATTGAACCTCACTAAAACCTGTGATTTTACAGTAAGTTAGGCCCTCTTTACTGTATTTTGGAAGGATATATGACGACACAAAGAGTACCTTGTAAACAATATTGACGTAAATAAACCTACCTCTGTCATACGTCTCTGACATGCCATTACAATGCTTGTAGATAAATTTAAATTTTGAATCATCTGCGCATGCGTGTATTTGTGAGATTGGCCATTTGCAGTGATTGTTCGCCGTGGTACTGTTTGAGTAAGAGAATTCGTGGTAACCTTGGAAAGGGCACGGAACTGGAACACTTGGAACTGAAATAGTTAAAAAGATGTCGTTAAGATAGCAAACTCATTATCTATTGCATTTAGACATTTGAAAAACAAATACTGCTTTAAAAGTATGTCATTTTAAAGATTGTTTGTGATACTAAATCGTAGGCGACAGAGTAAAATCCACATTAGTGAAAATCAATGTAAAGAATGGGAATGTACACCGGCCACAAACTTTAAACAATTCCAATAGCAAGTACAGAATGTACACCGGCCACAAACTTTTAACAATTCCAATAGCAAGTACAGAATGTACACCGGCCACAAACTTTAAACAATTCCAATAGCAAGTACAGAATGTACACCGACCACAAACTTTAAACAATTCCAACAGCAAGTACAGAATGTACACCGGCCACAAACTTTAAACAATTCCAACAGCAAGTACAGAATGTACACCGGCCACAAACTTTAAACAATTCCAATAGCAAGTACAGAATGTACACCGACCACAAACTTTAAACAATTCCAACAGCAAGTACAGAATGTACACCGGCCACAAACTTTAAACAATTCCAATAGCAAGTACAGAATGTACACCGACCACAAACTTTAAACAATTCCAACAGCAATTTTACCACAAACTTTAAACAATTCCAATAGTACAGAATGTACACCGGCCACAAACTTTAAACAATTCCAATAGCAAGTACAGAATGTACACCGGCCACAAACTTTAAACAATTCCAAAAGCAAGTACAGAATGTACACCGACCACAAACTTTAAACAATTCCAATAGCAAGTACAGAATGTGTTCTATAAGTCTACCAATCATTGCTTTTAATTGTTCCATTTTGATTATTTAATTCTTCAGTATGACAAACCATCATCAGGTTTTTGCGAAAATATTCAGTAGGGTAATTAACCTTGGTAGAGTATAATAATGTACTGTAATTAACCTTGGTAGAGTATAATAATGTACTGTAATCAACCTTGGTAGAGTATAATAATGTACTGTAATTAACCTTGGTACTGTAAATTAACCTTGGTAGAGTATAATAATGTACTGTAATTAACCTTGGTAGAGTATAATAATGTACTGTAATTAACCTTGGTAGAGTATGATAATCCACTGTAATTAACCTTGGTAGAGTATAATAATGTACGGTAATTAACCTTGGTAGAGTATGATAATGTACTGTAACTAACCTTTGTGGAGTATGATAATGTACTGTAATTAACCTTGGTAGAGTATGATAATGTACTGTAATTAACCTTGGTAGAGTATAATAATGTACTGTAATTAACCTTGGTAGAGTATGATAATGTACTGTAATTAACCTTGGTAGAGTATGATAATGTACTGTAATTAACCTTGGTAGAGTATGATAATGTACTGTAATTAACCTTGGTAGAGTATGAATTAATGTACTGTAATTAACCTTGGTAGAGTATGATAATGTACTGTAATAATGTACTGTAATTAACCTTGGTAGAGTATGATAATGTACTGTAATTAACCTTGGTAGAGTATAATAATCCACTGTAATTAACCTTGGTAGAGTATAATAATGTACTGTAATTAACCTTGGTAGAGTATGATAATCCACTGTAATTAACCTTGGTAGAGTATGATAACGTACTGTAATTAACCTTGGTAGAGTATGATAATCCACTGTAATTAACCTTGGTAGAGTATGATAATCCACTGTAATTAACCTTGGTAATTAAATCCTGTAATTAACCTTGGTAGAGTATATGATAATGTACTGTAATTAACCTGTAATTAACCTTGGTAATTAACCTTGTAGAGTATATAATCCACTGTAATTAACCTTGGTAATTAACCCTTGGTAGAGTATGATAATGTACTGTAATTAACCTTGGTAGAGTATGATAATGTACTGTAATTAACCTTGGTAGAGTATAATAATGTACTGTAATTAACCTTGGTAGAGTGTGATTATGTACTGTAATTAACCTTGGTAGAGTATGATAACGTACTGTAATTAACCTTGGTGTAGTATATAATGTACTGTAATATGATAATGTACTGTAATTAACCTTGGTAGAGTATAATAATGTAATTAACCTTGGTAGAGTATAATAATGTACTGTAATTAACCTTGGTAGAGTATGTATAATCCTTGGTACTGTAATTAACCTTGGTAGAGTATAATAATCCACTGTAATTAACCTTGGTAGAGTATAATAATGTACTGTAATTAACCTTGGTAAAGTATAATAATGTACTGTAATTAACCTTGGTAGAGTATGATAATCCACTGTAATTAACCTTGGTAGAGTATGATAATGTACTGTAATTAACCTTGGTAGAGTATGATAATGTACTGTAATTAACCTTGGTAGAGTATAATAATGTACTGTAATCAACCTTGGTAGAGTATGATAAGTCTGCTGTAATTAACCTTGGTAGAGTATGATAATGTACTGTAATTAACCTTGGTAGAGTATAATAATGTACTGTAATTAACCTTGGTAGAGTATGATAATGTACTGTAATTAACCTTGGTAGAGTATGATAGTCTGCTGTAATTAACCTTGGTAGAGTATAATAATGTACTGTAATTAACCTTGGTAGAGTATGATAATGTACTGTAATTAACCTTGGTAGAGTATAATAATGTACTGTAATTAACCTTGGTAGAGTATGATAGTCTGCTGTAATTAACCTTGGTAGAGTATAATAATGTACTGTAATCAACCTTGGTAGAGTATGATAAGTCTGCTGTAATTAACCTTGGTAGAGTATGATAGTCTGCTGTAATTAACCTTGGTAGAGTATGATAAGTGTGCTGTAATTAACCTTGGTAGAGTATGATAAGTCTGCTGTAATTAACCTTGGTAGAGTATGATAGTCTGCTGTAATTAACCTCGACAGAGAATAAAAATCTATTGTAATTAGGCAGCGTAGAGAATTATGTCACATTCTTCTGATTCATTTTTCGTGAATACATGTTTAAACATCTATGAATGATAGCTAGTAACACTGTAACGCATGATTTAAAGTCAATTACTGGTTAGATAGGTATTATCTGCCCTGCTGCAAACTCTTATATACAATGACAGCTGGCCACCAGGTGGCGCCCCTATTCGACCAGCTACAACACACTTACCCCGAACTATTGTGTGCAGTGTGTCGTCTCCATTGATTTTTTCACAGACAGATTCGATGGAATTGCCCGCGAAGCATAAACCTGGAATCAAGACAAACGCAAAGACGTTCAGCAACTATAGTGTATTAGACACTGATATAGATATAGCTAACTTAAACACCAGTATAGTGTGTTAGATACAGATATAGTTAACATAAACACCAGTACAGTGTGTTAGATACAGACATAGTTAACTTAAACACCAGTATAGTGTGTTAGATACAGACATAGTTAACTTAAACACCAGTACAGTGTGTTAGATACAGACATACTTAACTTAAACACCAGTATAGTGTGTTACACACTGATACAGACATAGTCAACTTAAACACCAGTGTTAGATATAGACATAGTTAACTTAAACACCAGTATAGTGTGTTAGATACATACATAGTTAACTTAAACACCAGTACAATGTGTTACACACCGATACGGACATAGTTAACTCAAACACCAGTATAGTGTGTTAGATACAGACATAGTTAACTTAAACACCAGTATAGTGTGTTAGATACAGACATACTTAACGTAAACACCAGTACAGTGTGTTAGATACAGACATAGTTAACTTAAACACCAGTATAGTGTGTTAGATACAGACATAGTTAACTTAAACACCAGTACAGTGTGTTAGATACAGACATACTTAACTTAAACACCAGTATAGTGTGTTAGATACAGACATAGTTAACTTAAACACCAGTACAGTGTGTTAGATACAGACATACTTAACTTAAACACCAGTATAGTGTGTTACACACCGATACGGACATAGTTAACTCAAACACCAGTATAGTGTGTTAGATACAGACATAGTTAACTTAAACACCAGTATAGTGTGTTAGATACAGACATAGTTAACTTAAACACCAGTATAGTGTGTTAGATACAGACATAGTTAACGTAAACACCAGTATAGTGTGTTACACACTGATACAGACATAGTTAACTTAAACACCAGTATAGTGAGTTAGATACAGACATAGTTAACTTAAACACCAGTATAGTGTGTTAGATACATACATAGTTAACTTAAACACCAGTATAGTGTGTTAGATACAGACATAGTTAACTTAAACAGTATAGTGTTAGATACAGACATAGTTAACTTAAACAGTATAGTGTTAGATACAGACATAAATAACTTAAACAACAGTATTCCTAAGAAATGTTATTTCTAAATATCGATTTAATGAAAGATAATACTTAAAGAGAAAAGGAATATGAAAATTTAAAGTAATGTATAGCTGTTAAAATTAAGACAAAAAATCTTACAAAAACAATTAATGCAAGTATCATCTAAATTTGTTGTCTGATCGACTTTACAATTGTTTGATCCAATCATATAACATTATGTTTAGAGATATATTCACACCATGACTAAGGCTTCCATAATGAAAATATCTAAACTGGGTGCAATCACTCGGAAGCAGCGAAGGCCTCGTTAGGTCACTCTCGTGGTAGTATATTCTTGTAATTACTGCATTTGCCGAAAATTTTATGATACACCTTTTCCTGTAACCAAAGCATTCATCATCCTACCGTAGCCAGAACGTTACGCGTGCTTTTGTGTGAACATATGAAAGTTGATAATAACCAGGAAAATTAACAGCTACGATAATTCCATCATTGTGTGTAATTTAAACAATTTGCGTCGCTGGTACTTTAACGAGTTTCAAAATACAACAGGGTTTTTATTCCTACCCTAAAATACCAACAAACAGCATGCAGGCGGTGTTTAGGTTGTAGCTTTCTCATATTGTTTAAATGTGAAAACCATAAAATGTTCACCCCAGGAAGCACTTTAAATCAATTGATTGTAGCTTGTTACAGTTCAAAAATATCACACTCAGAATTCACTTTTATCTGAGCTACTTTTAACACTGACTTCTTTTCGTTCCGAAAATTTGGTTATTTTTTCTGATTCTATTTGTTTGTTTTGATTGCTTGTGTTCTGATGAAATAACCCGTTTGTTTATTTTATCTTTACATTGTTTACCTTGAGACATCCAACTTCTATTATTGTGCCTATTCAATTATATTCTTAAGTTATTTTGATAATTTCCAGGTGTGGAAAGTTTTGTTATGTTAACCTAATGGTTCTTATTTTCATTTATCTTTATGAATCAGTTTAATTCACAATTCGACTCTACTGCATCTAACTCTAAATTTGCACTGAAAGGTGTTTTTCACTCGTGTATTTTTCTGCGACTTTGCAGGTAGTGGACGTTTAGTCCCTGAGGTTTACTGTAACCTACATACCAAATTTTGATTCCTTAAAAAAGTGGCACAGATCACTTGGGGATTTTTTTTCGGAAATTTTCAAATTTTAATAGTTGTATTAACTGAGTGATTCTAAAAATATTTTCCTAACATTCAAAATTCGAATTGCATATAAATTTTATTTATTATACCTTTCAAAATACATTGATTACACTTGTCACTTAACGTGTGGGATCAATTAAGTGTGGAGCGCTAATATGTTTGAAGAAAAGAGTTGTGGCGAACAAGGTTTTTTGTTTATAAAGTATACACTGAGTTATAAAATCGTACAAAGGTGCAGGACGCGCAGATGATGTTGCTTCCTTGTTTATTTCGGCCAATGAGACCACATTAATACATTAAAGATATCGTGCTTATACCTTAGAAGTGTGATTGATAATAGTGGAAGAAGGAATGATACTGAAGCAGACTTGATTTTATTGATCAAAAGATAATGAGAAAAAATACACTTTAAGCTGGCTCTGACTGGACCCTATACAACGTCACGTGACACGGTCTAAGATCTCGTGATAGCTTTCTTTGTACATGAATACCAACTCTTGTGATAGTGGGGCCGCATATCTACTCTGCTGTTCTATCTAACATAGTTTATCATGGACATTTTAAAATTAATCTCCAAAAAGTGAGTTTGGAAGTAGACCCCTATCATGTTAATAAAATCACGTGGTTACGATCTAAGATCTATGTTGTTTCCACTTACAAAGACAAAACATTTGAGATGGTATTTTACATTTTTATTTAAGATTGATTTTGTTTTTGTGAATTACATAGAACCTGGACTATCCACTACTCCATCTTTTCGTGTTTTCCCCAAGTTTTATCTCAACACTCATGTTTTGTTTAGTATGTCCTTCTTATCTTCATAGATTTTTAGAGAATAATTTATAACTTTACACTTGTCTTTAACAAAGACTGACGCTTCGTGTTCCACGAAGTGACGCACATATTGACCTTATAAAATGTGACGTTCAGGTCCCCCTGACCTGATATTTAAGACTTATCAAAATTTGATTTTATTAAATTGTAATTAATGTATTGTAATTTTACAATTTTTAATCATTTGATTTATTGAAGGGGGGATTATTTTTATATATATTTTCATTAAATTCTGTATTCAATGAATGCATTGATCATTACAGAAACTTGTCAAGATACAGCGTTTTTTAAATGAATTATGTGTGGTCGTTAAAGACAAGTCATTATATAACACCATTTAACTGCTCGTTATAGACACGTCATTATATAACACCATTATATCTGGTCGTTATAGACAAGTCATTAAATAACACCATTATATCTGGATGTTGTAGACAAGTCATTATATAACACCATTATAATTGGTCGTTATAGACAAGTCATAAAATAACACCATTATATCTGGTCGTTATAGACAAGTCATTAAATAACACCATTATATCTGGATGTTGTAGACAAGTCATTATATAACACCATTATATCTGGTCGTTATAGACAAGTCATTAAATAACACCATTATATCTGGATGTTGTAAACAAGTCATTATATAACCATCATTATAATTGGTCGTTATAGACAAGTCATTATATAACACCATTATAATTGGTCGTTATAGACAAGTCATTATATAACACCATTATAATTGGTCGTTATAGACAAGTCATTATATAACACCATTATAATTGGTCGTTATAGACAAGTCATTATATAACACCATTATAATTGGTCGTTATAGACAAGTCATAAAATAACACCATTATATCTGGATGTTGTAGACAAGTCATTATATAACACCATTATAATTGGTCGTTATAGACAAGTCATTATATATCATCATTATATCTGGTCGTTATAGACAAGACACTATATAACACCATTATATGTGGTCGTTATAGACAAGTAGTAGTAATATATCATTATGTCGGTATAGACAGGTGGTCAGAACAGGAATAATATTTTATTAAAATTGTCTTCAGAAAATTTCCTTAGAGAATATTTCATAGTTCTCAGATGACATCATATTTCTGAATGAAGTTGGCATAACACTACCACATAGGAAAGTTGAAAATAAGTGCAAATTTAAAATATATTCCATAACAAAATACACAAGCTTTGAAAATTCAAGTAGATATTACCTCCCTTAGATAAAAAAAAGCATAATTTATGTAAGTCGATTTCCAACACTATTCTAACCTCCCTTTCGGAAAAGTACCAACGGATACCTACCAAACCAAACCTTCACTTTAATTAAATCGACCCTCGCTTATATTCAATAAGATTACCTTAAGCTTAATCTAACTTTTGAGACGAGACGGACATGAAAAGCCGGCCACTCCCCTGGGAGGGAGCGCTCGGTAAATTCCACCTTTAACAATGAAACAGACAAATGTACATGAATGAGTCGGATCATACATTCACGCTCCAGGTCTCATAAGAATTCGACGGCATTTCTACATGGAAAGACCATTTCCGTGATCAAATAAACGATTTTATAAATCATATTTAGAGTATTTATAAGGCTGCTGTTCCATTCCCTGGGACATCCTGTTCGTCATAATCCCCTTAAAATAATCTTATTCAGAAAGGGAGACATCCCGTAAAATCATTCTGAATCATACCGAAACACATGCTGCTCGTATCGAACAAGAGATTTATGAAAATTGCCGTCAACAGCTTTTGATTTCGTATACAGAAAAATGCACTAATCTGCCCTGTGTTGGACTCCTTTGAGAATTTAAGTCAGGTAATTTGCTTCAATAGAAATATATCTCAAGGCTGCAGACCACCAAATGTGCATTGTGTTTTATTATCGAACAAACATCACATAGTGAGTTGTTCATATCGGTTGCTTACCAACAATCATCCAACAGATATATTTCAATTCATACCTTTTCCTTTTCTTCTAAAATAATGAGTTTACATATGGTTATCTTCCTCTGATGTTTATTTCATTTCAAAAGTTTTTTTTCCTTCATTTTTTCAAGAACATTGCTGTTGTTTATATTTTTATAATTAGACAACTCGCAATTTTATTTGGAATTTTCTTTCTGAAGATTACATAACAGTGAACAAGTGAATAACATAGTGTACGACAAATTTAGAATCACACAAAGCAGAGCCAAGTAATGAATAAACCTACATCATACAGCTGTTCCGTCCCTTTGGGACTCGTCAGTGATGTTACATCATACAGCTGTTCCGTCCCTTTGGGACTCGTCAGTGATGTTACATCATACAGCTGTTTCGTTCATCTAGGACTCGTCAGTGATTCTACATCATACACCTGTTCCTTCCCGTTGGGACTCGACAGTGATGTTACATCATACAGCTGTTCCGTCCCTTTGGGACTCGTTAGTGATACTACATCATACAGATGTTTCTACATCATACAGCTGTTTCGTCCTTCTAGGACTCGTCAGTAATACAGCATCATACAGCTGTTTCGTCCTTCTAGGACTCGTCAGTGATTCTACATCATACAGCTGCTTCGTCCTTCCAGGACTCGTCAGTGATTCTACATCATACAGCTGTTTCGTCCTTCAAGGACTCGTCAGTGATTCTACATCATACAGCTGTTTCGTCCTTCCAGGACTCGTCAGTGATACTAAGGACCTAAGTTTTAAAAACTACAACGTGATTGAGGAAAATAAATTCGAGAAAAATGTAAAAATAAATATGGGAGATCACTAGACCCATGATTCAATAAATTCCAAAAATCACTCTTCATCATACAAGTATTTCATCCTTCATGGACTCGTCAGTAATTCTACATCATACAAATGTTTCATTCTTCTAGGACTCGTCAGTAATTCTACATCATACAAGTGTTTCATCCTTCTAGGACTCGTCAGTAATTCTACATCATACAAGTGTTTCATCCTTCATGGACACGTCAGTTTTTCTACATCATACAAGTGTTTCATCCTTCATGGACTCGTCAGTAATTCTACATCATACAACTGTTTCATCCTTCATGGACTCGTCATTAATGCTAGACGCTTAAATTGTTAAGCCTGCGAGGCGACTAAGGAAAACCAAAAGTGGTAAGCTAGACTTTCAATAGCATGACCTTTGACCCGATATTATACCGGATACAGATCTGGTACTGTCATATAGGTATACACCGGTGTAACATAAACACAAAACAACGACCAATTTGGCGGGAATGGCACCAGACAGCGCGTACTGGAGCAAAGTGCGCAAGTCAACCTTGCATCCTTCCTCGTGGTAACTATAGCAACCCTAGGCTATCTATGGATTTCCTGCCTTTTTTCTGGAAACTTTGTCATAAAAGCACAGCATAATTACATCAGTGAAATTATAGCAAACAAAATCAAATACATACTCTCTCGTATCAATGACTGAGGCATTAGCACTCGAGGCAGTGTAGACGGTCGCTGTATTGTGGCGACCTATCATACACGCCATTTTGTATCATAGTGCCTCGTTGATGATTACGACACAATACATTTTGAGCACAATATGATATTATTGGAAAAGATTTGATCAGCTCAGATCAAGAAGCCTTCGGTCTCTGTTGGGTATTTATTGCGATTTATTGATTTGGTCGACAAATTAGGCTGCATGTCTTCAGATGTGATATTCTGAATGCTTAACTGTCACTGCATCATTGACAAGACATGTTGTTATACCGAAACTCTCCCGATACACCTCGCCCTACGTTTTTTCACTTTTATTCTGTGTCTCTCCTGGGAAATCGTGAACTCTTTCCCGTTTAGATTTGTGAAACTCTTTTGATATTGTTTTTGGGATATGGAACATTCCATATCTGGCTCTGTAAGACTGAATTCGTAACGTACAGGCACGTGTCTATGTATGCTGGGTTAACGCAGCATTGATCTAGGTTTGATTCGATGGTATAACGACAGAAAGTAGCAACACATGCGATTTTGAGTTTCAATTCTGATTCTGTTGTCATGTCGGTATTGTTTTGTGTTTTGTATTTTTTAAGCACAAACGAAACAGTTCTTTGGATAAGTTATCAATTAGTTCCGGAAATTCAAAAAAGCGGAGTTCCAGAGAATGTATGACACTTGAAACAAGTCATATGGCTATCTTATACATTGATTTGGCACAGTGATATAAATCGTTGTCTGGAGAAAGTTAGTTATTTATACAAAACTTGGTGGTATCTTTGTTTATAGTGCTTAAGTGCAGCATTTAAAAAAAATCACAATCGTTGTATAACTTATTTTTTTACGGTGTACAATATACTGTGTTACTGTCATAACTATTAAGGATTTCTGCATGGATTAACTACTATTTATTTATCATTAAATATTATTCACTCTGTTTATCATTGACAGTGTTTATATCTATTGCAATACAATGTTTCATTATATTACAGGGAGTTTTTGTCGATTTTATTTATGTACAATGTTTGTCACTTTCTGACGTAATGAATGATATTTTATACAATGTTTGTAGATATTTTATACAATGTTTGTTGTTTTTTAAACAATATTTGTAGATATTTTATACAATGTTTGTTGTTTTTTATACAATATTTGTAGATATTTTATACAATGTTTGTTGTTTTTTAAACAATATTTGTAGATATTTTATACAATGTTTGTTGTTTTTTATACAATATTTGAAGATATTTTATATAATGTTTGTTGTTTTTTATACAATATTTGTAGATATTTTATACAATGTTGTTGATGCTGTTAAACTATGTTTATTGATAGTTTACACAATGTTTGTAAATATTTCTATACAATGTTGATTGATTTTTATTCAATGTTTGTTGATGTTTTAATACAATGTATGTTGCAGCTGTTAAACTATGTTTATTGATATTTTATACAATGGTTTTGTTGATACTGTTCAACAACGTTTCATGATAATTTTACGCAATGTGTACTGATGCTTTTCAGCAACATTTAATGAAATTTTATACAATGTTTATTGATGCTGTTCGTCTATTTTTGATATTTTATAAAATGTTTAATAATACTTTATAAAATGTTTAATGGTATTTTATACAAAGTTTGATAAAACGTACGCACTATTAACTTGATAAACATTATGTTATGTCAAGCAAAACAGGTAAATATTATAACAAAATTACCCGCGATGTCGTGATACATTGTAGAATTGCACAGACGCAGAAATATATCAGATAACGTAGCTTTGTGTTATAACATTTTTTGTTTGACATAAATATTTGTTTTCATTAATTTTTTTTGCGATAATGCTGGAAAGATGAACAATAATTTATATTGTTTATTTATTGTTCATATATTGTTTATATTTATAATTTATCAAAATGGCCTATGTTGTTACGACTTATTGTTCAGCAGACAATCTATGGTAAGTTTTATAAACCAACCTGACTTAAAACTTGGTCTATTTGATAAGTTGTACTTACTTTCTTTGTACTGTAAGATATTATCCGCCCACGCACTGATCACCATACACCGATAGCAAGTGCTAGACCTAGAAAAATAAACAAAGAACAATTTATTAGTTTTAAAAAATTCTGGGAACATCATAATCTCGTGTATCAAGGAACATCCCTTCAAAGGAAACTGAAATAAAGAGTTTCTCCATCACCTAAACGTCACGTCGGATTGTCTTTTATCGTTTCTTTCCCATGTCGTATTCGTCCGCAATGTTAAGGCTAAGTCTCAAGGTATGCGTTCAAACTACAGAAGTCTTTTACTGTTAGCCAAGTTCGTATGTCCTTCTGCCAAATAATTTTCCTATTGTTTTATTCGGCCTTGTGATGATTTAAAAGCAAAATATTCCTCCTATCACCGACTTAAATCTCGGTCAAAGAAATGTAGAGTTGTGTTTCCTGGTTAAAGTAAAAATGACTCGCTCAGAATTACAATTTGTGGGACAAATTTCGAATTTCTTTGGCGAGCACTCATCTTTGGGTTCTACTAACAATTGGATCAATTTTTATCACACAGTATTGGATCATGATAGGATGATACCGTTTTAAACCAATAGAAAAACTTGTCTCAAGAAATATTTAACTTTTTAAAAAAATGCTTGTCATGTTTAAAATTAAATTTGAATAAACTTATGCTATATTTTCGTTTACTTGTGAAATCTGATAAAAGACATGAACGAAACCCAGAAGCATGCGTGACAATAGGCCTTGCCTTTCCAACGAAATGCAAACAACCCATTATAACATTTTTATGTTCTGTATATTTTGAAAATTCGATTAAACTTTATGTTTTATGATAACTTTTCGATTCACATAATAATATATAAACTATTTAATTCATAATAAAATAAAAAAAATTCACGTCACTGGCTATTGAATCATTCTCCAATAAAGTCTAAGAAATGGATTGCACGAGATCTCGCAATTCTGTCTGATGTTTGTGTTTGTAAGCCCATCAGCCTCTTGGCGACTTTGTTCTTTATTACAGATTTGCATGCCGGGAGCCCATACGCTCCCCGATACAAACTCCAATTGGTTGAAGTACCATAAACAATGGCGATGGATGTTTCTGTATCGCAGTGGTTACCTGTGGTAGTAAATTACTCCGTCCAGTCTCGGCATGGCCAGATAAAGTGTATCGTGTTTCTGATAAGACCGGACAATAAATATTGATGGGTCGGTGAGATAATGACATGTAATTCATACCTTTAGAGTATTCAGCTGATTAATAACTAATAAGGGTTTGTGAAATCAGAAAACGAGATGTGTGAATCCTTCATGTTGTATCATATGATATAATAACGTCCACTACCAGACATCAGAGCCATGTTAACATGGAAATGTATCTTTCAAATGTTAGTATAAGAGGTTCAGTTCTATTGAATAAACCTTTCAAATATTAGTTATAATAAGATCGAGTTATGTTTTGCTGTTGTAGACGGTTCAGCGTACGGTATAATGAAATTTAATTGAAAATGAATCAATATGCCTCATCCAATCGTCCGTTACCACAAAAGAACGCCGTCTAAGATGTGATCGATAGATTTTTATGATGATGGAAATCTGGCTTTAATAATTCTAGAAATATATCATTTTCTTTCAACATCATGAAAAATCCATTACAACAATGTATTATACTCCAGAATACAAAATGAGTAAGATTGTTTATTGAAACATAAAACATTTTATAATTGATGTACTGATCCATGTTACTTTGGAGTAGAAAATACTCACTTGCATCATATTGTCTGACAAAAAAGTTTTCATTATATCAGAAAGACGTCACAGAGCAACCGTGTGGCAGATAAACCCCGGACTCAAGAAAGAGACAGAGTCAGAAGAGAGGGAGGCCAGTATGGTTAGACAAAGTCAGAAGAGAGGGAGGCCAGTATGGTTAGACAGAGTCAGAAGAGAGGGAGGCCAGTATGGTTAGACAGAGTCAGAAGAGAGGGAGGCCAGTATGGTTAGACAGAGTCAGAAGAGAGGGAGTTGCAGTGTCATTTTGCCATGTTAATACCTACGTGTTCTGTTTTAGACGTTTTTATCATTTCCTTGAGGATTTGCGTCAGCACGTGCTTGAGAGGAAGCATTAAAAGAACTGAGACTGTTCGAGTCTCCGTAACAGGTTATGCGCGTGTAGGCGGATTTGAGCAGTCCTGTCATCGCGTCTTTCTTTCCCATCCCTTAACATCAAATGTCATCTTTCTGAAACCGGGGATTCTTCAACTGAAGACTTTCCTTTGTTATTAGCTTGCCACAAATGTCAACGGTACACCTTAGATTGTGTGTTTAATCAGGAACACATATCTATTTGTTTCCACGTATCTGGTAAATATTGATTAGAAATAGCCTCCAAACGAACCAATCTGGTCGGATTCACCACTGACAGCTAAGTCTGCTGATTCCAGCTCAAACTCTTCATTACAATACATCCAGAACACACACGTTGTTGTGCCCCAGGTCTTTTTGGCATCTTTTCTTTTTTTCATATGTATAAATATAAAATGATTTACTTTAATTTCCATGAACAATGTTGTTCAAAATTAGTATTTTGTTCTTTTTTTCAGATGACCAATACTTTTTATTTCAAATTGTGTCTTTGCTTGGTCTCGAAATTAATGTTGATAATTTTTTCAAAAGTTAGAATAATTGATTTTTTCATCCCGTAAAATATTTGTTTTTCAAGCTGATCTCGAAAGACAAATCAAAAGCCATTTCTAAAAGTAGAGTTGACAGTGATTGATCAGTAAAATCAATTTTCACATTTTATCGATTTGAAGCTCTTTGTGTGATTTATCATTACACTTCAAAGGGAATATGGCTAGAGTTGCTTGAATTACTCTACTTCCGGTATATGTTTTAACTTCCGGTTTCTAGAAGATGATGAAGCTTACTCTATCATTCTGTCTATGGTTGGCTACCCAAATCGGTTGTGAATTCACCTCATGTCCTTATGTTCTGATACGATTTTCTACAATGTCATATGTCCAACAATTTGATGCAAAATATTTTCAGCAACACATCCATCTGTTGTAAGTATGTGTTATAGCATTAGTGTCCGAGATGTCACCAGTACTAGTAGTTTCTGTGTAGAACTCCAATTCGCGAACAAATATTTTACGGGATGAAAAAATCCACATTGTATATCTTTTGACCTACAGATAAATTCATTCCAAACTTTAGATATATGACTACTTACAAAATGTACCAATAACATCAAACGATTTATTCATGAAAAATTGTTATAAATTCTTGTCTCATTAGGAAATGACACAGCAATTCCTAATAAATTAAATAATTCGAAAATACTTTATTCAATTTGTGTCAGTTGTATGATATAATTACAATGTATATATAAATACATATAAAGAGTTTTTTATCGTAATTGTTACAATTTCTATTGGAAGATAAATGAATGACGTTTTACATACTTATCTAAGTATATGGTCTTCGTGCCTACTTGGTATAACAACAATACCACGACATAAACAATATTTGAAAATATGGTTCAGTACGAGCATATTGTCATGATTTCGGACGGAAACAGATACAAAAGGAAATCAATAGATAGGAGTGTTGGGGATAGATCTGTGCTGAGGAAGCTTAAACACCACGTAAATCACAGCGAGATTCCTATAAAACCCGCCGTTGTAGCGTACAGATAATCAGCACACTAATGTACAAGTTACATGCAACACGTGCACGATGGTGTTACAGAAGGATCTACAAACTCGTAACCATTTTAACATATACGATATAAGAAAACAATATAGGATGACTGACTATAAAATCATTCATTTTCGTAAGAGATGTATTTTCGTTGATTTCGTAGGTGCTCTTCATCCACGAATACATTTGTTTATGAACTGTTAAAATAAGTATAAGTAGATTGATTGGACTGTAATCATCCACGGAAGTATGTCCACGAAATCCACGCAAACTAGCTCCATGAAATTAAATGCTTTTACGGTATATGTCTGTTTGCTTATTCGCTTCTATAATATAAAAAAACAGAAACACGTCATCATATAATCACGTTAATCATTATTTAATCACGTTTAATCATTATTTAATCACGTTAATCATTATTTAATCACTTTAGTCATTATTTTATAATGTTCATCATAATCACGTTAATAATTATAATCACGTTAATCATTATTTAATCACTTTAGTCATTATTTAATCACTTTAGTCATTATTTTATAATGTTCATCATAATCACGTTAATGATTATAATCACGTTTAATCATTATTTAATCTCGTTAATCACTTTAATCATTATTTTATCACTTTAGTCATTATTTCATCATGTTAATAATTATAATCACGTTAATCATTATTTTATCACTTTAATCATTATTTTATCACGTTAATCATTACAATCACGTTAATCATTATAATCACGTTTAATCACGTTAATCATTATTTAAATAATTATCTTAACACTTACAAAATGTGCATTATCATCTCTTTACCAAATCTAATTTTGCACTATCATAACGATCTGCATTTTGTTAAGTTTTTTTTTCTATTGTAATTATCCTAAAACGTATTACATGAAATTGATATTGACTCAGCATCTTCGATTACACGTCCCAAAATTTAGCTTGTAGTATGAATATAGAGTTTACTTTTAAGAATTCCAAGCATCTTTGAACATGAAATTTATTCTATACGTAGGTTAACGCCACCAAATTGGAAACAGAAAATTGTTGAAGAATTGGTAGTAAAATGCAGCAATACTTGGAGACGAATATTCATAATAGGATGCCGTTACATATTAAGTTGTCCACGGGCTGTCGTCAGAGTTCCCCCTACACATATCCATGTGGCACCGATCGTCGTGTCAGTGACTATAGAGAAGACCTGACGAAGCTAGTCTTAAACTGTAACGGCAATATTAACGTTATTTTAACGTTTCTCGGATCCCCTTGTCACATGTAATTGATTTGCACGTGAGTTTAAGTGAGATAACTTTTATACGCAATTAACTTAAATGCTTGTTATTTCAAGGATAAAGCATGGTCACGTGACTATTCTCTATTCGTAAAGAACGAAGAGAATTGATTCCGATTCAATTTCTGTGAAATTCCAAGCACAACAGCTCATGTCATTGATGATATGCCTCCTATCATGAGAGTCGGTGTTCATATCAGGAAGGCGGAGTTCTTCAACGAACGTGCTATTCTGAAATTGTCTGAAATTCTAGTGAAAAATTCGTTATCTTTAATTTCTCAACCTAACTGAATTAATCAGCAATATCAATTGTGATAACGTAAAACTAATCAAACTGGTATACGACAGCGGTCAAATGGTCAGGGTGTGGTCAAGTGGTCAGCATGTGGTCTAGTGGTCAGAATGTGGTCAAGTGGTCAGAATGTGGTCAAGTGATCAGGGTGTGGTTAAGTGGTCAGAGTGTGGTTAAGTGGTCAGAGTGTGGTCAAGTGATCAGCGTGTGTCCAAGTGGTCAGAGTGTGGTCAAGTGGTCAACATGCGGTTAAGTGGTCAGAGCAAGTGGTCAGGGTGTGGTTAAGTGGTCAGAGTGTGGTCAAGTGATCAGCGTGTGTTCAAGTGGTCAGAGTGTGGTCAAGTGGTCAGCATGTGGCTAAGTGGTCAGAGTGTGGTTAAGTGGTCAGAGTGTGGTTAAGTGGTCAGTGTGTCGTTAAGTGGTCAGAGTGTGGTTAAGAGGTCAGAGTGTGGTCAAGTGGTCAGAGCAAGTGGTCAGGGTGTGGTTAAGTAGTCAGGGTGTGGTTAAGTGGTCAGAGTGTGGTTAAGTGGTTAGAGGTCAGTGTGGTTAAGTGGTCAGGGTGTGGTTAAGTAGTCAGGGTGTGGTTAAGTGGTCAGAGTGTGGTTAAGTGGTTAGCGTGTGGTTAAATGATCCGAGTGTGGTCAAGTGGTCAGTGTGGTTAAGTGGTCAGAGTGTGGATTAAGTGGTCAGAGTGTGGTTAAGTGGTCAGAGTGTGGTCAAGTGGTCAGTGTGTGGTCAAGTGGTCAGAGCAAGTGGTCAGGGTGTGGTTAAGTGGTCAGAGCAAGTGGTCAGTGTGGTTAAGTGGTCAGAGTGTGGATTAAGTGGTCAGAGTGTGGTCAAGTGGTCAGAGCAAGTGGTCAGGGTGTGGTTAAGTGGTCAGAGTGTGGTCAAGTGGTCAGAGTGTGGTCAAGTGGTCAGAGTGTGGTTAAGCGATAATTCAGATATTTTCACATTTTAACTTTATGATAAAAGGATATGAAGAGAACGTCACATGAAATCAATCTTCAAAACCAAGTAAGTGTTTGAATTTACCTGTCTGCAATCAGGTATTTAGATCCGTTTTTCTTTGAACACGTTCCTTTCCGTGATATTTGCCGTTCCGTAATTTCGAGTTCCCCGTACGTGTCCTGGTACCATCGTCCCCGCCATTCTACCGGAAAGACACAGGAAGAAGCTAGAAAAATAAAAACGAAAAAAACTTCAAAGATTGTACAAAAGGCATACAAGTGAATAGCACCTTTAAATTCAAATTTAGAGTTAGATAAAGGAGGGCCAAATAATGAATTAAATTGCCCCATACAAAATTAGCGCAGTAGAAATACTCCACTTTATAGTCATAATTTCAGCTATATAAGAGTTTGATGGGAATTCCACGTACGTTTCATGACTTTTTTTTTATCTTTCCTTTTTTCTACTAGAGGGCATAATTGTTATCTCGAAATTACATCGATGTATCATCATCTAAGAATTTCTCGTAATTGCGTGAATCGTCGTTGTAGCCATCGTTTTTCTAAAGTGTTAAAAATAGATTTGTTCAAAGAGCCTGAATCAATTCGAATCCCGGAACACTGTAGGACGATACAAACCGTATGTAACATGTTAGAAAGTCATTGGAGATTACATCCGCCATTTGGCCGTCGCGAGATGGGTATCGCAGCGTTTAGCGTCGGATGCCGCTCGGAGGCGCATGGCGTTGGGCCGTTTATCAAGAGAACCAGGCTAAGCTAGAACAATTGCCAGGTATTTCGTGTTAAGAGTTTATTTGACAAAAAAGAACTCTTCTGATGGGAGATAATATACAGCGCCCTCAGAACTCTTCTGTGTCGGAGATAAAGACGTCAAGACGTACATCGGATTACGGGATTGTGCACGGTCGAGACTTTGCTTCTGTTTAAGCACGTAAACACTCTTAAAGTTCTCAATGACATTAGTCTATGGAAATACTTGCTTAAAGTCTTCATGTCGAGTCCAAATCGTATATTTCTGGAGCTTAATGTAAAATACACAGAGTCATTTCCACTATTAAATGCTTTATTGCAAATCTGAGATGTAGAAGATCTCGACTCGCCGTAAAGGAGTCTTAAAATGCTAGTAAAAGTGACAGGGTGTGAAAACCATTGATACAGGGCTGGCACTGACACGGAAACTTTAGCCGGGTGTTCCAAGCAAATATAAACAACGCCAGCTTGCCGTAATTACTCTAACATAGAACCGGTAGAACTGAAATTCTTCAAAATATCACAACACGTACCATCATGACTCTAAACTTTATCCTGCCGGAATTACTCTAAAACATCACCATCTGTACCGGAATTACTCTAAAGCATCACCATCTGTACCGGAATTACTCTAAAGCATCACCATCTGTACCGGAATTACTCAAAAGCATCACCATCTGTACCGGAATTACTCTAAACCATCACCATCTGTACCGGAATTACTCTAAAGCATCACCATCTGTACCGGAAATACTCTAAAGCATCACCATCTGTACCGGAATTACTCTAAAGCATCACCATCTGTACCGGAATAATCATCATCTGTACCGGAAATACTCTAAAGCATCACCATCTGTACCGGAATAATCATCATCTGTACCGGAATTACTCTAAAGCATCACCATCTGTACCGGAATAATCATCATCTGTACCGGAATTACTCTAAAGCATCACCATCTGTACCGGAATAATCATCATCTGTACCGGAATTACTCTAAAACATCACCATCTGTACCGGAATCACTCTAAAGCATCACCAACTGTACAAATCACCATCTGTACCGAAATTACTCTAAAACATCACCATCTGTACCGGAATAATCATCATCTGTACCGAATTACTCTAAAACATCACCATCTGTACCGGAATCACTCTAAAGCATCACCAACTGTACCAATCACCATCTGTACCGAAATTACTCTAAAACATCACCATCTGTACCGGAATTACTCTGAAACATCACCATCTGTACAAATCACCATCTGTACCGAAATTACTCTAAAACATCACCATCTGTACCGGAATTACTCTAAAGCATCACCATCTGTACCGGAATTACTCTAAAACATCACCAACTGTACCAATCACCATCTGTACCGGAATTACTCTAAAACATCACCATCTGTACCGGAATTACTCTAAAGCATCACCAACTGTACCAATCACCATCTGTACCGAAATTACTCTAAAGCATCACCATCTGTACCAATCACCATCTGTACCGTAATTACTCTGAAACATCACCATCTGTACAAATCACCATCTGTACCGGAATTACTTTAAAACATCACCATCTGTACCAATCACCATCTGTACCGAAACTACTCTAAAACATCACCATCTGTACCAATCATCATCTGTACCGGAATTACTCTAAAACATCACCATCTTTATCGGAATTACTCTAAAGTATCACCACCTGTACCAATCACCATCTGTACCGGAATTACTCTAAAACATCACCATCTGTACCGGAATTACTCTAAAACATCACCATCTGTACCAATCACCATCTGTACCGGATTTACTGTGAAATAAGGACATCTGTACCGGAATTACTCTAAGAATTACTTTCACATAAGCTTATATGAATGATCCTAGAGTTAAATAAAAGAGAAAACGACGATACGAAATAGATAAAACCGCATTTGTATGAATTATGATATAATAAGACCCACTATTAAATGTCGGAGTTGTTGAACCCGGAGTGAACACATCTGTTTACGATTTCCCTGTGGATCAGTATTCTGTTCCTTTTAATTTTAGATGAAAACTTACAGAGAAATTATTATTCGAGGAGGGTCTGTGATAAATAGAGCAGATTTCACTTATAAACTGTGGGATGTTGATAAAACTAGGAAACTATTTAACTACCTCATGTGATGCCAAGAAAAAAATATAGTTTATACAGTATCATTCTTATAGCATAAATCTCAAAGAACGATAAACAATCTGACGTGCAACGAGTCCCATATGATAAAAAACACGAGTATGAAACCAGCAGAAATATGGTGCCTTTTTTATATGAATCGCAATAATATATGTTACATAACTAGTGGGCGTGGTTATGACGGGAAAGATGGGGATATATTGAGTCTAATATACCAACTGTTACTTTTTATTATCAACAAAAGAAAACAAATCGTGTGCGTTCAACCCATTCTTTGAAACTAATGCTCGTCTGTGTGAAAACATGGCAATACGTTTTATAAGTACTCGTAAAGATTGCGCGTGGAATAGTCCGCGCGACGTGCAGGCAATTATACCAGTAACAGGGAATTAGGATCAGTCGGCGTTCTGTGAAATATGAAGTCACATCTACGGGTAATGCATACAGACGTTCCTTAATAGGTTACCATAGAGATGTTGCCGAGTTCAACCATCTTTCACACTCGTGATGAGTTCGATTTAATAACATCGATTACATTGGCAACTCGTCACATGTAATTACACCGATTACACTGGTGTTTCGTCACATATGATTACAGACTGATATGGTGACTTGTCACACGATGTTACACTGATAACTCGTCACACGTAATTACACCGATTACACTGGTGTTTCATCACATATGATTACAGACTGAAATGGTGACTTGTCACACGATGTTACACTGATAACTCGTCACACGTAATTACACCGATTACACTGGTGTTTCATCACATATGATTACAGACTGAAATGGTGACTTGTCACACGATGTTACACTGATAACTCGTCACATGTAATTACACCGATTACACTGGTGTTTCGTCACATATGATTACAGACTGATATGGTGACTTGTAACACGATGTTACACTGATAACTCGTCACATGTAATTACACCGATTACACTGGTGTTTCGTCACATATGATTACAGACTGATATGGTGACTTGTCACACGATGTTACACTGATAACTCGTCACATGTAATTACACCGATTACACTGGTGTTTCGTCACATATGATTACAGACTGAAATGGTGACTTGTCACACGATGTTACACTGATGACTCGTAACATGTAATTACACTGATAACTCGTCACATGTGATTACACTTATAACTCGACACACGTAATTACACTGATGACTCGACACACATAATTACAATGATAACTCGACACACGTAATTACACTGATGACTCGACACACATAATTACAATGATAACTCGACACACGTAATTACACTGATGACTCGACACACATAATTACAATGATAACTCGACACACATAATTACAATGATGACTCGTCACTCGTAATTACACGATATGGACACACGTAATTACACTGTAACACACATAATTACAATGATAACTCGACACACGTAATTACACTGATGACTCGTCACACGTAATTACACCGATGACTCGTCACAGGTAATTACACTGATGACTTGTCACAGGTCACCATGCTTACCATAGAACGGTATTGTTGTACCTGTAATGAGCATATATCTAATAAGCCATAGAATGCAGGTTCATATGTAATAAGGCTACCTGTAATTCGCTGTTGTACTATAGACTTTTACACAGGAATCCAAGGCGAGTTTCTCTCATCAAGAATTACAATATAACGCTAATCTACTTCAAATATGACGTCATAATTACATTTTCAAATTTATTAAATCTGAAGACACCAGAACGTTAATTATTATTGGTATAGCGGTAGATACTTTGAATTATTAACACGACTTGTGTGTACAACGCCATCCATATTTAACATGAGTCATGATCGTATACCGCCGGTTACAATCGACAAGTAACAACCAATACAGTCCATGTCAGATCAAACGGTAGAAAAGTACTTACATTTATATTCGGGATAATTCTATCTATTATTTTATTATTTTCATTATTTTAAGATTTTTGCCATGTTCTGTTTAAAAAGCCAAGAATATCTGAAGCTGGATCACAAAATAAACTCATTTGATTGAGTCCAATCGGACATTACAGGATGGTCATTTAAAGTATATCACTTATGTCCGCTCCTGCTATAACGCATAAGGTTAGGGTTAGTTGCCACAAGAAAATTCGAGATGAGGAAAATTCGAGACAAGTATTGTATTCCGAATATATAATTATAAATTAAGGCATGACATCGAAAACATGAAGATAAGTCAAATATTTATGATTTCAAATTATACGCTATCAAATAATTTGTCACCTGACATCGAAATACAAAGAAAATGA